AAAGTTCCTGATGGATACGGATCTAATTTGCAAAAATATGTGAATCTAAAGCAGCGAAAACTTATTAATATGAAAAGTCACGACCATCATATTCTCATGCAAGATATCCTTCCTGTTTCTTTAAGGGCGTCGAATGCCACAAAGTTATTGACTTGCTTGAGGAGTTGTCAGGCTTTTATAAAAAGATATGTTCAACTGCTATAGATACCGGAGAATTAGATACCATTCAATCAAAGCTCGTGTTGACACTTTGTAAGATGGAGATAGAATTTTTACCAACATTTTTTACGATCATGGTTCATCTACTAATTCATTTAGTGGATGAGGTCAGACTTGGCGGACCGATTCATTACAGATGGATGTATCCCATTGAATGGTGATTTTTTTTTTATTATTATTATCTATTTATTTATTTATTTATTTATATGTTTTAAATGATATTTTTCCTTTTTTCACATTCACATACATAATCGTTATTATAATTCAAGGTACTTGGCCTTTTTAAAATCTCATGTAAGCAATAAAATGCAACCGAAAGGTTCTATAGCGGAAGGTTACCTTTTGTGGGAGACAATTGCATTCTGTTCGAGATATTTAGAAAGTGTTGAAACTATATTCAATAGACCCAGAAGGAATGAAGACGGTGTATCAAACACTGAAAATTATCTATATAACTCTGGTGGTCGTGTTGTTGGAAAGAAAGAAAATGTTCGTGTAGATAATAGAAGTTTAAAGCAAGCACATCGTTATGAACTAACATCGGTTCTAGAGTAAGTAGCAATGTAGCGTTATGTGTTTCTTTAAAGCGTCCAATATTTAATTGTTATTAACATAAAATTATCAATCTCGATAGTGAGTTTTTAAAAAAAACGACAAGAGAATGGCGTTGGAGGAAGTCAATCTAATGAGTCTATTGAAAATCAGTGGATAATTAATGAATTTGCAGATTGGTTGCAAAATCAGGTTATATGCTATTACAATTAGGTTTTTTTTTTCTTCTAATTTTCATTTTATATAACAATTTTAGTCTAACTATATATTCTCGAATTGTAGGTCCATAATTTAGATGATAGCACGGTAGAAGGAAAGTTAAGAAAAACCTTAGCAGGTGGCTTGAGTAACCGCGTGAAAAGGATGAAAAGTGTTATTATTAATGGTTACAAATTTGATATTGTGGATCGTGAGCGATTTCGAACGACTCAAAATTCAGGAATCATGGTGGAAGCCGAGGGCCACGAATATTATGGAAAACTCAAAGAAATTTTTGAATTATATTATTATGGTTCTTTTAAGGTTGTATTGTTTCATTGTGATTGGGTCGATATTCATAAGGGTATCAAAACAAACCAAAATGGAAGTGTTCGTGTCAATTTCTCAAAGTTGATGCACACCGGTCGATTTTTACATGATGATCCATTTGTTTTCTCATCTTAAGCAAAGCAAGTTTTTTATGTTAAGGATGAGATACAAAAAGGATGGTGTCATGTTGTGAAGACTAAGCCTAGGGACTTGTTTGATATACCTGAATAATTGGCTTAAAACATTTTGGAAAAATTTTCTATTAGTGTGTGTTTGTTTTTGTTCGAGTACACAACTTCGATTAGGTGTAATTTTATATTCGATTTATTTATTGAAATTTGTCAAAGTTGTTAATGGAATAAATGTCTTTAGCCAATCTTGTTTCTTATTTCAACTCTTGTGATTAGATTTTATTGCTGCTCTTGTTTGTTATTTCAATATTGAATTAAAAGATTGGTAAATTGTCAATGGTTTAATGTGTAATTCAAAGGATTATTATTATTTTTTGGGGGAAAAATGAGCAAAATTATCAGATTACCGTCATTTATGTGATTAATTTGGAGTTGCTATGTTTTGTTCTTATTCAGGTTGGTTCTAGGAAGTACATTGTCATTATTCTTGGACGGTGGATTTACACCAAGAGACTCAAAGGTGCTAATGTCAATGACAAGGTGAGGTTTTTAACTTGAGTGTGTGTCGATTTTGAGACTGCCTTTCCAGATTATTCTTATTATTGACACAAAGTGGTGTAGACTGAGATTTATGATGAATGAGGCAACTTTTGTCGAATGTGACCCATAATTTTCTTACTCTAACGGCTAGATTTTTGAGTTAATATAAGGCATTATTATGTTACACTCTAGTTGTGTGGAGATATTGCAAGACTAGTGTCATATAGTCTTTGGATTTCACAAGATGCTCTGAATTAGTTCGAATAATTCAAGTTTGTTGTGAGTCTTGTGAGGGTTTAGACTACAGTGTTTCTGATTTTTTGTATCGATTTCTCATTATTGCAAGACTAGTGTCAGTTTTGACGAGAGTATTGGTTTAATGATATGCATGTCTATGCAACATTTAGCTGGGAGGATTTTGCTTCAAAACGTAGGTTGATTGGGGTAAATTATTAACTGGACCGTATAAGCCATCTAATTTTGTTGTAGGTAAGCTTTAGTGTGTTAGTAGGTAGTTTGCTGAATGTTGGTCTAGCATGTTCATAATGATCAAATTCACACCCTTACTCATTATTAATCTATTGATTTCACGTGGCAGATCCCTTTCACGAAGTGAGAAGGAGACTAGAGAAGAAGAAAGAGGTAATTTTTTGTGATACCTATCATTATTGTTTGTAGCTGGAAAAAGCAAATAAATTATTTGTTCAAATTATTGCTGCTACAAGTTGTTACCCTAAATTGCTTTTTGATATATGTATACTCTTTGCTGGGGTTTCTTTGTAAATTCCTTGTATGCAAACTGCTATCTTGTCTCTGAGCAGGGCATGTAACAATTGAGGACTGCTCCTTTTACCTGGTTGTGACTATAGCTTCTGCTGTTTTGAGTATTTTAGGTTGAGCTTGTGACTTATTCAAGTAAATATTGATATGTGTTGCCCTCTGGATGTGGCTATGTATGCTATAGGCCTATAGATTGTCATTTTTAACTAGAAATACTAATCACTAGAGTAGAAGGGATATATACATTTCTATCTGTTCAATTTGTGTCAATAATAGACAATATGATATTAAGTACCTACTTTTTTGGCTTATGTGGTTGTCTTTGAGATGGAAAGAGTAGGGCAGTGTGTCTAATAGAAACCAAATTTAGAGGAGTGAAATTACTGAAATATATTAAAGTGATCTATGTTGTGACCAAGCTTTTGTGTTTGTTTTGTCTTGCAGAGATCAAACGGTTCACCTTTACGTGGAATTGAGGAGGAGAAGTTTTCATACGTAGTATTGAGACGAGGAAAAAGACCGCAGTGAGTATTTTATGCTCAAGCTTTACACTTGCAATTAAATTTCATTATGATATAGTGATATACTACCATAGTTATTTTTGCTCTACTCATTATAGATTTGATTTTTAAGAAAACTTTGAAAAAGACGATTGGGTGCAAGATAATGTAGCCATTTTTATATGAAGCTTTGCTATTCTACGTTTTCCTATAACTTGAAAAGTGCATACCCAGTAAATATCCATTTGAGGTGTCTGATATCTTGATCTGTGCCAAGACATCAGACACCTCAAATGGATATGGTTACTGGGTAACAATGGTCCTATATACCCATGATGATATTACCAAATTGTTGTTGTTTAGAAAATTTAGTTGCCTCTCGGTCAATCTTTTTGTTGATTGACTGATCTGTCTATAAAGTTGACTCACATTTAAGGTTTTAGTTCTCTTTAACGACAAGTCTTTTCTAATATAAACTAGGCCCCTGTGACACTGCTATGTTTTCATTACTATTTGTAGGATTTTTGTGCAATCAAATTGTTCAAAATTGGGTTGGTTGTTGCCGTTAGTTACTATACACACTTTGTGTCTGACCTGTAGCCATGAAGAGGTGCTAGAATAGTGGAATGTATTGCAGACTGTTGTAAATCTTTTATTTACACAGTAAATGCATTAAAAATCAAGATAGGAAAAGGTTTAATCTGAGTTTTACATGTGGCTTTAAACTGGAGGATGTAATTTTGTTATGAAAATTTTAAACCCTAAACAAATGCTTTGATGCAGTTCCCTTATAAGTACATCATAGCTTGCAATTCTTGGAAGCTTTCATTCCATTGGTCACATTAGTGGTCGTTCTAGTAATGAAATTGAAATTTGTTGGGTAGGGTAGACCATATTATTGACAACATAGTGAAATAGGAAACCTAATTTATATGTTCTATACTGAGGTCTTTTACTTGCATTGTCATCAACATTCCAGACTTAAAGTTAGTGTGATCTGACTCGAGTTGGGTTGAGCTGATGATATTCAGCTCTTCCCTAGGTAAAGGGCTATAAACTTCTTAATATTTAACCACCCTAATTGATGCCCCAATCTATTCATAAAAAACTGGATTATTGGAATAACAACATTTATAACTTCCAAGAGTTAGATCATCAATAGTTTACAAGTCAGTAAACTTGCCCTTGTTTGACAAGCAATACAGGTTAATAACAGTATATATGTCACAACAGCAACAGCAACAGCCTATAAGCTTCAAGCGTCAAACCTGTTTTTGACACACAAAGAGTTGGCCAGTTTCATATCGAGGGATAAGGCTGAAAGCTGTCAGTCCAATACCGGGAAAACCATACCTGACCAAAACAGATTAGCCAGTAAAATAGAAAGTCTACTCAAGCCCAACACCACCTTAAAGTTAGTCTGATCTGACTCGAGTTAGGTTGAGCTGATGATAATCAGCTCTTCCCTAGGTAAAGGACTATAAACTTCTTAATATTTAGCCACCCTAGTTGATGCCCCAATCTATGCATAAAAACCTGGATTACTGGAATAACAACATTTATAACTTCCAAGAGTTAGATCATTAATAGTTTACAAGTCAGTAAACTTGCCCTTGTCTGACAAGCAATACAGGCTAATAACAGTATATATGTCACAACAGCAACGGCAAAAGCCTATAAGCTTCAAGCGTCAGACCTGTTTTCGAGTTTTTCCTTCGTCAGAAAGAATTATCGCTTTATATATTTTAATTGATTAATGTGCACGATCTTAGAGAACTTTAAGATCCATCTCCAAGGGGTCAGTAGCTTGAATTTCATAATGTACACCATCAAGATCATGCTTAAAGTTCTAAGGACTTTTTTCTTGTGAATTAGACTGATGATTCTCTTTTTTCGAATACTTTATGCTTCTGATCCTTCACTGTATTTTGACTAAATGAACTAATTTGATTTTTTGACCAAATGAACTAAAAATACAAGAGAAAAGTTGTTAAGTGTCAGAAAATGAGAATAAAAGCTAAGGGTTAGAACTCTCAGAAGCGAGATTTATTAGTGGCTTGCTGAATGAGCTAGTCAGAGATTTATTTTGCCGTCCTTGTTTCTGTTATTTTTGAAATAAATTATCTTGCGGTGTTATATATAGTACAAGATGAATTATCGAAGCAAATGAGCAAGGGAAATACTTGCTGCCACAACTAAGTCACAAGATCCACAATCATCACAGTCACCAAATACAACTACATCTAAGTTGCATGATCCACTATCATCTATAAGTGAATTTGCTTCCAAACCAACCAAAAAACAAGTTGTTCTGTCACCACCAGCTGAGGTTCTTAAGAATGATAAGTGGGGGCCATTTTCTTCACTTGATACAACTACAAAATGTGCACAACCACCACCTAACAGACTAGGATCTATTTGGAAAAAACCTCCACCTAATGTACCAAATTCAAAGAAACTCAACTCCCTTAACAACCACTTCAGCATCCTCAACCTGGGAAGGGAGGTTCTCAGAACCTTGGTACTAGTGCTGTGAAAACTTCGGCAGCAACTCCTATTTCTCACCAACCACTTCAGCATCCTCAACTTGGGAAGGGAGGTTCTAAGAAAACTTCAGCAGCAACTCCACAATTTAATCAAACACATTAAAAAAGTGTTGAAACTTCCAATGATATCCAGAAAAAAACTAAGTCTCTACGACCAAAGTCACTTCCCGATTGGCCTGTAGACATAGATTTTGATGATAAGGAGGAGGTTCTGACCATAGGTAATCTTTTTACCTTCATTATTTTTTTTACTTTATCATTGAGATTCTGTTTGTGGTTACATAAAATAGATGATTATTAGTTGCATGGTGTTAGTTAAAAGCAAAATTAGTTCTTCAAGAGCCCTAAATGATGTTTTCCAATTAGTAAACTAATGGTTTTTTATTTTTATTGTTTTTATAGACGCCAATGGTAATACTACATTGGTGAGTGGTATAATTCTTCCATTTGACGTTTGGAGCAATAGTGACGTCAAGTACTATGTTGAATTCAATGATATATGCCAACCGATTAGGAAAGGTGGACATATATTTGTATGATGGCAAAGATGGAGACTCATTGTCCAGTTGGAGAAAAAAATTGGCATGCAATCGACGGCCATATAAAAGGAAGGATAGTTACGGATATGAGAGTAAGTACATTAAACACTAGCTTTGCATAAAATATTCTGATCAATTATTAGCTTTTTTCAAGTTAGACCACTTACAAGTTACTTACAAATTTCAGATTGTCTTATTAATTAGGACCACTTTGTGATTCAATGGTGTGGAATATGACAACCAAGCTCTCAAGCGTGCCAATAAAGCTTGGAGACAGTTCAGATTCTTTTTAAAAAACCGCATTACAAGCCATATGAGAAAACAGTGGAAGAGATGTGTAATCAGGAACTACCACATGGAATAAGCAGGAATAATTGGGTCAAGTTGGTGAAGTACTGGGATTAAGAGAAAGCGAAAGTAAACAAAATATTCACTACCACTAATATATTAAGTTTTAATTAGTCTTGGTTGAATTATTTGACAAATACTAATTGGTTGAATATGAGTGCAGAATTTGTCTATAGCTGGAAAAAAAGCACAAGCCTTCGTAAATCAGCTTCATAGATCTGGCTCTTATAGCTTTGTAAACCAACAAACTGATTATGAATGGATTAGTTATATACGTGGCCTTTTATTTAACTTAAAAGAGTGTAACGTAGAGGTGGCCAGTGGGCCGGGTTGGACCCAGCCCACCCTAACTCGCACGGCTGGTGGGTCACGTGGGTCCGACCCGGTTTCAATCCGGCACAGCCCGGCACAGCTCGGATTTAATCCGGGTTGTGTCGTGGGTCCAAAATTTTCGACACAACCCATTTCAACCCAGCTCAGTTTAACCCGTTTGATTCGACCCAAATCGCACAACCCGTTTTGACTCATTTAATTCGACACACCTAGCCCGTGAACCCACCTAACCCGACCCACCTGGCACAACCCAGCCCGCACGGCCCACCCGCACGAATGACCCACCCAACCCGCACGAGCCAACCCACCTAACCCGCACGCATGACCCACCCAACCCGCACGCATGACCCACCCAACCCGCACGGCCGGCACAACCCGCACGGCCCGCACAACCCGCACAGCCCGCACAATTCGCACGACCCGCACGGCCCGCACGGCCTAACATCCATTTTAAAAAAAAAACGGCTAGTTTTTTGTATCTAACGGCTAGTTTTTTGTATCTAACGGCTAGTTTTTTAAGTGTATGATCATCCATTCTATTTTTCCTATAAATACCAATTCCATTTCACTCAAATTTCCACACAAATTCAAGCTTTCTTTCTCTCTTACTTAAAAATTCTTATTGTTCTCAAATTCTCAAGTGTTATATAGAGTTATATTTTTGTTAAAAAAAATCTCCTTAATATTATTATTAGTATTCTTAAGATTCTAAAAAAAAAAGTTCTTCTCCATATTATAATTAGTAATCATACAAAAAAAAAATGAGCTCAAGAGGAGGAATGGGAAGGAGTCAAAGTGGTGGTCGAAGTGGTAGCCAAAGGAGTGGTGGTGCAAATTTTTCGTATGAAATTAATACGGAAAATTTAAACCAATTTGTCAATGAATATGGAGATTATGGTTTAGGAGATAGGCAAAATATTCAAACGTCTCCACCACAACATTTCTCCCACGAGTCCCACCAATCATCAAGTTCAACTATGCCACCTCCATCGCAACCAACATCTCAACCTTCATCTCAAGGTAATTTCTAATTAAATTTTTATTGTTATGAATATTTAAAAAAACTATTATTAATGATTATAAAGTTAGTTTAGTTTCCAATTTTCTATGATTTACAATTAGTTAATTACCATGAAAAATGCGTTTAAATAAGTATAATTAAAATATTTAAAATTTAAAAGCTTATTTTCATGAATAGCATTTAAAAATTAATTTTAATAATTTGATTTATGAAAGGTGGTGGCGGTGAAAGTAGAGGTCGAGCACATTTTTCTTGGGTGTGGAAACATTTTGAACGAGTTGAGGTCACACCCCCGGGATGGCAACCTGGTCAACCAAAGAGGTTCACGTGTACATGCCTAGTTTGCAAGGCGCTAGGTGCAAATGTCAAGTCATATAATTGGAAAACGGGAGATGGAACCGGAACCTTGAGTCGGCATTTGCAAAATAAACACGACTTGTTCGAAAATGGCCCCCGTCCTTCGGGGGGTGGCGTCCAAACACAATTGGGTGGATACATGAACCAACCCGGCGGAGGTACACCTTTCATTTATAATAAAGATAGAATGATTGATGAAATGAGTACTTTAGTTATTGCTAATGAATACCCTTTTAGTTACGGTGAAAATGCAAACGTTGAGCATTTTAATAAAGTTGCATTACAACCTGCATTTACTCGTGTCCCCCGAAATACCCTAAGACGTTATACACAAACTTCTTATTATAAGTATAGGAGTGGTTTGATTGAATTATTTCGTACTTTTGATGGTCGTGTTAGTTTTACAAGTGATACATGGACTTCTAGTTTTGGCGAACCTTTTCTTTGCATTACTGCTCATTGGGTGGATGATGATTGGTTTATTCAAAAACGTATACTATGTTTTCAAGCTATGGAAGAAAGGCATACCGGTTTTAACATCAAAGTTCGTATTTTGGATTGTTTAAAAGAATTTCACTTGAATAATAAAGTTTTTTCTTTGTCTCTTGATAATGCAACTGCAAACACAAAGTGTATTGACTATTTGAAAAATGACTCCGAGTTGAATTTGTTGTTGGGTGGTAGTCTCTTGCATGTTAGATGTTGTGCTCATATTTTGAATTTGTCTGTTCAAGAGGGTCTCGCTGAGTTGCAACCATTGCTAAACCCAATTAGAACAGTTATAAAATGGATTAGGATTACTCAGTCAGTTAGAAGAAAGTACATAGCTATGTGTAAAGAGAGAGGTCTTAAGAAAAGACAATGGTCTATTGATACCCCTACCCGTTGGAATTCTACTTTCAAGTTGTTGAGTGATGCTATAAAGTATCGTGATATTTTGACCCAACTTTACAATGAGACTCGTGTTGATCCTACTGAGTTAATAACCGAAAGTCATTGGACTAATGCTTCTTTTGTTCGTGATGTTTTAAATGCTTTTGATAGTGCAACTCATATTTTCTCTTATATTTATGAGCCTAACGTTCATTTAGTCATAATTGAGTGTGTTAAAGTTGTTCACACCATCGAAGAGCATATGAAGATTGATGGACTTCGTCCCGTTCTTGATAGCATGAAACGTAAGTGGCATACTTATTTTAGTGAATTTCCAATCATTTATGGAATTGCTGCTATTCTTGACCCCGGTGTCAAAGCTGAAGGTTTGGAAAATCTTTTAGAATTTTATTATACAAGTTTAAGTATCGATTATGATGTTAGTGAATATATTAACAAATGCAAATCTGTTTTGGGAGACCTTTATGATCATTATGCATCTATTTATGGTTTTGATTTGGCAACACCAACTACTACTAGCACTTCCGATTCTAGATTTGGTTTTCTTGATAAAGTTATGAAAAAAAAACACAAAGCATCTACATCATTCTCATCATCATCTTCTTCAACACTTGCTATTAATGATTATTTGTCATATCAACATGAGACCAACAACGACTTTCAAATTATAAAATGGTGGCAAGAACATAAAAAAAGTTTTCCTATATTGGCGAGAATTGCAAAAGATATACTTGCAGTTCCCGCTTCATCTGTTGCTTCCGAGTCTGCTTTTAGTGCAGGTAGAAGAGTGTTAGATGAAAAAAGATCTCGCTTAACTCCGGAAAGCATTCAAATTTGTGTTTGTAAGAAAGATTGGGATCAAGCTGAAAGAAGAACTCAAGGTTTAAAGGAAGACGAAGACGATGAAGATGATCCTGTGATGATATTGGAGTCGTCAACGGATGATGCAGCTTCCGGGGATGATGATGCAACAAACATGGGTGGCTAGAAAAGTCTAAATCAGGTACGCTAAGAACTACGTGGGCTTTGATTCTTTCGGGATACGTAGGCAACTTATTTTTCGAAAATTACAATTTAATTGCAAAATTAAATTTTAGTTTTCTAAAGATAGGTCCAAGCCCCCCCCCCCAAATTTCAAAAGAAGTACAATATAAGAACTACGCTGGCTTTGATTCCTTATTTTATAATATAAGGATACGTAGGCATCTTAATTAAGAGCAAGCCATCAAATTGTTAATTTTGTAAAAATTAAAACACCACACAACCCACCCGACCCTAACCCACGAACCCACCCGACCCTAACCCACAAACCCACCCGACCCTAACCCACCTAACCCACAAACCCACCCGACCCTAACCCACTAACCCACCCGACCCTAACCCACCTAACCCACAAACCCACCCGACCCTAACCCACTAACCCACCCTTCGACCCACCCTAACTCACTAACCCACCTTGACCCGTCTAACCCACAAACCTAGCTCGACCCACCCATGACCCGTCTAACCCACAAACCCAGCTCGACCCACCCACGATCCGTCTAACCCACAAACCCAGCTCGACCCACCCACGACTCGTCTAACCCACGAACCTAACCCTGGTGTATCCAACTTCTCCGACCCAACCCACGACCCGGCCCACCCTACCCTACGTGTGTCGTGCCGTGTGTCATGAAACCCCAACCCGCGACCCACCTAACCCTAACCCAGCTCGCACGACTCGCACGGTGGACACCTCTAAGTGTAAGTCTCAGAAAATATAAAATCAAATAAATAACAATATAGATTTGTAGCATAAATAAGCTAATAAAGTACGTATAAATGAATATAATTCCTTCTCTTATTCATATACATTGTGTAATTTATGATGCATCTCATTGACATTGTCGATTTCTCTTACAATGCTCTTTTGACATTTTTGTTAACAGGAAGATGAACATGGAGAAAAAATGAGCTTATTATCTCTTTGGATAAAAGCTCATACAGGTAAGGACGGAAGCTTTCTTCCCGACACTGTCACTACAGACTTTGTGATATGATTCCTGACATAGTCACTGTAGAAATTATGAATTAATAAAGTTCATGTCATTGCTCTTGTTGTTGGTTATGCTAGATGGTCTGCTAAATGTGTGGCTCTGTTTTTAATCCCCGTGTTCATTACTTAAACTTGGTACAGGATGATGTAAACGCTAAGGTTGAAGAGTTGAGGATGTTGTATCCTAAAAAGTCACAACAAGAGCTCGAAGATGAAGCTTTTCACTATACCATGTATAGCAATGAGATTCCGGATCGTCCTTTAGGTTACGGACTAGGGGTAAAAAAGGGCGACATTTACGGGGTGCGTGGTTTCTTAAGGAAGAAAGTTTATGGAAAAGTTCAAAGGAGGATAAATTTAATGGACAATGTCAAGGAAGAAGTGTCTGCTTTGCACGAAAAAAATGATACACTTGAATAGGAAAATGAAAAGCTAAAAGATAAGGTCGAACAAAATAATTTACTTCTTAAAACGCTTGTTGGACAGTTTTCTGATATTGTGGGTGCAGTTCGTTAGGGGAATGCTTCTCCGGATCTTCTTAACAAGACATCTCAATTCTTGGGTTTGGCAAACCAACAGGTACTATTATTTTGGCAATAAAACTCATATTAGACTTATTATTTTGACAATGAACTAAGGTATTAGTTTCTGAAGATCTCTCTTGATTAGTTTGACAATAAAACCCATATTAGACTTATTTCAAGGTCGTCTTTATAAGAAACTAGGTAGAAGGTTTCTAAGTCTAGTAAGTTTGTCACAAACATGGAAGTGTCCTATTAGATCTCCCTGCAGCCATTTGATTAGTCTTGAATCTGGCGTATATGCCTCTAAGTGCCACAGTCTGTGTCTCAGAGCTTCTGCAGCTCCTTTCGGCATAGCTTCCAAAAGATAACTACTTCTGTTACCCTGCACGAGCCCTTCAACAAGGTGTGTGCTGTCATCAAGAGCAGTTAGAATCCTTCCTTTCCTACTTTCTTTAATGATTCGTATATATATATAACAACATTTAGGATGACAAATCTTTTTCCTAATGAGTTGTTATATATATGTAATATATATATATATATATATATATATATATATATATATATATATATATATATATATATATATATATGCTTCCAGTTTCTTGATGATCGAAATGTTTGTGTGTTGCGTTTGGCAGGACTTTCTATAAGTGTAGAGGTAAATTGGCTAGTGTAGCTTATTTTGGTAGCTTTTCAGTTAGCTCTAAGATAATTTTGTCTGTTGAATTAGATCCCAAAATTGGGATGCAAAGCAAAAATAATAGATCAATAGAATTTTGAATCTGTAGAGGAAGTGAAAGTCATACATACGATTGAAACCTAACTATCAATTATACATGCAGTACTATTTTTTTGGTAGCTTAGAGTCATAGACTGATTTAGTTGAACCAAGCTTAAATCTTCATCTTTATCCCCTGTTTGGTTCGCAGGATTAGCTAAATGATTCTCTCTCCGGTGATTTTCAATGGTCCTTCCTATAATTTGTCGAGTGATTTTAGCAGTTTTTTTTTTTTTTTTGTGATTATTTATTTAGCATTTGAACTGACTTTCAGTATGTAGTGTACTAATGTTAGTGAATTTGTGGTTGTTCTCTGTTGTACGACGTACAAGAGCTAACTGGACCCCCATTGTGGCTGAAGTGAAAGCAGTAGCCATGGCCATCAGACTGGCCAAGCGTTTTGGGCTAGCTGACATTGTCATAGAATCGGACAGCCAGACTCACATGGGCATCAGACTGTCGAAGGCAGTAGACATGGGCATCAGACTGTCGAAGGCTGCAGTCTAATTCACTGATCCTTTCACATATTATTTACAGCAGCTGGGTTAATTTGAGTTATATATTGTTTCTAGGATTTTAATGTGTTTTATTCCAACTGGGTTTTCGAAGTTTAGTCATAATTGCATTGACTTTCAGTCATAAAGTTTATAAAAAAGCTAAGTTCATCAGTATGTCTTTTGTTTTTTTTTTTTTTTTTTTTTTGAAGGAAAAGTTCATCATCAGTATGTTTAATATTTATATATATATATATGTACTAATTACTTTTTAATTTTATCTTGAAGGTTGGAAAAGATAATTTGATGAATACAGGAGAATGAATTAGGGCGGATATTTGAGCATTAAAAAACTAGCGACTACCAAGATATCACCCATCATCATCATCATCATCATCGGTTTATCAAGTGCAACTAATTGGTGTTTTTAGTCTTTGTGTTATTATTATTATTATTTTTTATTTGAGGCTAATTAAAGTTTTTGTTTTTGACGATTATGTTGTTGATGTTTTTTTTTTTTTGTAATTATTTTGTTGGATAGTTTAATTAACTATGAACAAATTACAATGTTGACCAATCGCTAGCTAGCTAGCTTTATCTTTTTAGTATATATATATTTATCATTATGTTTGAAATATATATATATATATATATATGTTTTTTTTTAATAAATTCATCGTTGTGGTGTTTATTCGATTTACATGCATTGTAATTTTAATTTCAAAAAAAAAAATTACTACAAAAAATATTGTGGACGCTTTTTTATGTTAAGGACATTTGATTTGCATTTTTTAAAAAAATTCCCGCCAAAGAAAAATTGAACGCTAAAAAGCGTCGCCCAAATCAAAATATATGGACAGCAAAAGATGTCGAAAGGATATATGGACACCAAAATGCGTCTACCATCCTATTTACAGTAGACACATAAAAGCGTCGCAAACATTCAGAGATAGCGTGAACCAACCCATTTTTGGACATTCCGTATAATAATCTAGACACCAAAAAGCGTCGTGGTTGTCGACGCTTTTATTCGTCCACAAAAAGCGTCGAGAACAAAAACAGCCTATAAAGCGTCGCAAAAACACGGAAATTGTAGTAGTGGTTGAGACGGTTATAATAAAGTACATACCCATAGGACTATATTTAATATTCGGTATAAATCACAGGCAATAGTCAAAGTGAATTAGATAAATAGTGCTAATAGTCAAAACGTTTCAATTATTTAAACACGAAAAGAATACAAAAAACATTAAATTATAGTTATACCTAACGAATTCGAAGTTCATTTTGTTGAGTAGATCAGACAAGGAAAAATTGACTGTAATGTGTTACAAATAATAATGTATGCCTATTATAGTTTGTAACTATCTCTTTAATATGACTATCTTATTTGTCTTTGGAACTTCCTTTGTAACCTCCATATGCCTTTAGTTCACATTGTAACTCTTCATGAATGGACTCTTCATTGTCCATATGGGTTACATTGTTCACATCATGTATATATATAGATGACCCATAAAATGAATGAATAGAGATAACACAATTACCATCTACATCTCTCTTTAATATTCTACCTTTCCCCTTATTTTATAATACAATGAGAATTGTCACGTGGATTTTACATTCTTACAAACAACCAACTATGTCGTCACCCATGACCACACACCAACAGCAATTCCTAAACCACGAGAACTATCAAGCAATAACCAACAATTTATTTCTTAGCCATTCCCATAACCCCTATGTATACACCCTTCCCTTCCCATCAACATACTAAAATTCTTACAAAATTATCTCTAAAGTATTTAATTTCCTTCAAAAAATGGCAAATGAATTGGTGTTATTGGATTTTTTGCCAAGCCCATTTGGGATGAGAGTAAGGGTAGCATTAGCTGAAAAAGGAGTGAAATATGAATATAGAGATGAATATTTAAGAAACAAGAGTGAATTCCTACTTAAAATGAACCCGGTTCATAAGAAAATCCCGGTTTTAGTCCATAATAACAAACCGGTTAGTGAATCTCTAATTATTGTTGAATACATTGATGAGGTTTGGAATCAGAACAGCCCTTTGTTGCCGTCTGATCCTTATCAAAGGGCTGTGTCTCGTTTTTGGGTTGATTTTGTTGACAAAAAGGTAATTCTTTTTGCTAGATTTCATGCGTGTGTTTTACTTTGTTGCTTTATTTGAATAACAAATACAAATATATCTTGCATGCAATTAATCCGTTTTATCATATACCACCATTTCTTATCAATTACTATCAAGGAGATTATTTGTGATACATAAAGAATTTATTTATTGAATTCTTTATTTGTTTGACTATTAACAGCCATAAGGGCGAGTGATGAGAATCAATTCCATGATCTCTGAAATCGGGAGGAAAATTCTAATTATTTGAACTATTCCTCACTCTCTACATCAATTAAATGTGATAATAGTAAAATATATAGTGATCCTAATATAAGTTGCTTAAATGTGAACTAGGTTTATTTAAGAGTTTTGTAAAGGTTCAATTATAAAATTCATTAAAGAAAGGATGAAACAATCACATATTGGTGATAACCTTTTGATAGATTAACAATGTGGATGGACCAGTGATTGTTTACAAGTCTATTTCATGTGAGGATATTTTAGTGAAGTGTGTAGCTCAATATTGGAAGTAGGAACAACGTGTTACTTAGGCTAATTGTCTTATTAGAGCCACGTTGAATTTGGTGGTCCACTGGTCCTAGATAGGAAGTTGACATTTTTTATTTGTTGAGAAAATGATCTAAGTAGTTTTTAATCGTCTACAAAAAAAATGTAACGAAGTAGAAGCGTAAAGAACAAATTGAAATAATTTCAACAAAAAGGACACGAAGCATATAAGAGAATGAGGGTAAAATATTTTAACGCCGTTCCTATACATGTCCATCATGAATTTGTGATTATCGTTGCTCCAATTTGATGACTTCATAACAGTCATGTGTACGAGCACTTACAGATGTACGAGACTGGAAAGAGAGTTTGGACCACAAAGGGTGCGGATGAAGAGGCAGCCAAGAAAGAGTTCATTGAGCACATCAAATTATTGGAGCAACAACTTGGTGACAAGCCTTATTTTGGAGGGGATACTTTTGGTTACGTTGATGTTACCCTAATTCCGTTCTATAGTTGGTTTTACACGTACGAGACATTGGGTAACTTCAGCATCGGAGAGTCGTGCCCAAAGATCATCGAATGGGATAAGAGGTGCATGGAAAGGGAGCCTGTTAAGAAATCACTCCCGGAGGAGAAGGTGTATGAGTTTGCTTTGATGATAAAGGAGGCGTATGGCATTGAGTAGAAAATCAAGTGTGCGTTGCATGGCTAATAATGAACGTGTTGGGTGCTTGGATCTGAACATGTTTTTTTTTTTTTTTTTTTTTTTTTTTTTTTTTGGTTTATGCAACGTAAGGTTTAATAAAATCCAAGATAATATCAATCTTTATAAGGACTTGTTTCTTTATTTTTAAAAAGCTTTTGGACTCATTTATGAATATGAAAATTTAGAGTAATAAAAGCACATGGAGCCATGCAGGAATACATACTTTGCTACCTGCCAACAATGAACAAGCTAGTAATTTCTACTTCCTCCACTTCTTTATAGTTGAAATATTTCCCTAAAATAAAAATGTCACAATAGTTGCAACACACTATAAAAGGTACGGAGTAGGTTTTTATGGTGAAAATTGTAATATTACCTTTATATAAAGCACATGGCCCACTTGATTGTACTCTTAACAACCCTTTTAACCTCATTTTAAGTATATTATATCACGTGAGGTCCAGTTTTCTTAAATATTGTGATAAAATACGTGTTGCAACGCTAAAGAAACGAAGGAAGTAAGTTATACCAACACATCTATTTTGTGGTTACAAAATTTCCAATTTATCAAAGATTTTAAGTTATGTACTAAAACTAAACATAGTAACCCCTATACCATTTCTTTGGTAACTTTTGATACAATTGCACAAGTAACCCCTAAATTGATAATTAGTCAATTACGGAACCCAAATGTTAGATAAGTACGTAAACCTTTAAACCCTTAATACAGATGGTTTGGTGGTCGTATAAAACCATTATTTACTGACTTTTAACCGTCTGTAAGTAGACTTGGCAAATGGGTCATTCGGATCGGGTATCGGTCGGGTCATTTCGGGTCGGATCAAGTTCGGGTTAAAAAGGTTATCGAGTCAAGTTCGGGTCGGGTCGGGTCATTTCGGATTTCGGGTCGACAGATAATCGGGTCGGATATCGGGTCACCACTTCAAGTCGAGTTCGGGTCGGGTCAAGTTTGGGTCGGGTCAATTTTCGGGTCAACTTCGGGTCGGGTCCACTTCGAGTCAAGTCATATTCGGGTGATTCATTGGGTTAAATTCAACTCTGTATATATTATATATATATTGATGAAAAACTCACTATATATATTAAGGCATTTTTTTCATGGATTATAGTAATTGTTTGATTTTTATTAACTTTTTTTTTTTTTGTGTGTGTTTAGACTGAGAATCACTTTCAGGATCTCCTGAAACTAAAAGGGATGCTCTAACTAATTGAGTTATACCTCACTCTCTTATTGATTTTAGTTTTAATACGTACTCTTATTATCATTGTCATTGTTGTAATAATTTCTTTGAATTATTCTTATACTCCCTCCATCCCAAATTACTCTTAACGATTTAACATTTTACACTACTCACACATCTCACTTTGACCATATTTTTTTAGCTATTATATGAAAGTCAATGTAGTCATGTAAGATGTTGTTGGGTCTTTCTTAATGTATAATTTCCTAATATAAATTTTTTATAACTTATATAATTATTTACTAAAAGAAGTTAAAGGTCGGGTCATTTTCTGGTCGGGTCAACTTCGGATCTCGGGTCAACTTCGGGTCGGGTCGTTTTGGGTCTCGGGTCAACTTTGGGTCAGGTCATCTCGGGTCGGGTCGTTTCAGGTTGGGTCGTTTCGGGTCAAGGTCGGGTCAGTTCCACTTTAGGTCGGGTATGGGTCGGGTCGGGTTAATTCGGGTTTTCGGTCAATATCGGGTCACTAGTTTCGGGTCGATTTCGGGTCATGGGTCGGGTCATCGGGTTTGGGTTAGGATTGCCAGGTCTATTTGTAAGGGAGGCAACCCAGATCTGTAATCAGCAAATAATCTATTCAGAAGTATATATTGTGAATGACGGTAGTATATAATGCGAATTAAACACCAGTAAGAAAAAGAAACCCAAAAAAATAAAAACATACAAGCAATATTCTAGGTGATGTTACTATCAGATGTCATTACAGCTTGAATTATGATAGTTAAAGGTGTTAGGATTAGTGTGGAGATAGATAAATACATGGAGACATAAGGAGATTGCATAGAAGCTGCCTTATTGTTAAGGTTCGACCAAACTTGTGAAAAGTTCGGTCGAACCCGGTTTTAAGTCAGTAGGTGCACCAGTTTTCATTTCTAGAGGAGGAGTGACCAAACCCAAGGAGGTTCGACCGAACCACCCCAGGTTCGACCGAACTCTGGGTAGGTTCGGCCGAACCTCCCTGCTCCCTATTTCGTCGCTTCGTTTTCGGCTTGTGCGATTTGCTTTAATCTTAGCCGTTAGATTGTATTTTCTACCTAGACTATATATACCTTTTCTAAGCCTCTTTGTTGAGTATTCACAAACATTTAAACACATAGAGAGGTTTTGAGAGGGTTTATGAGGAGCATTTGAATTCTATACAATTCATGCTTGTAATTCTTGAGTTCATTCATCATCAATAATACTCCATAGTGCAAGGGTGGGTTTTTTCTCCCGGTTCTCGGGTTTTCCCACGGTAACATTGTCTTCCTTTTACTTGCTTTGATTCCTTCAAAGTTGTTCTTGATTGTTATGCTTGTTTGTTCATTGCTATTGTGGGTTGATTGCAAGTTAGTTGAACACTTTAATCCTTACAAAAGGGTCCTAAGATGTGATTTAAAGTCCCATGACAAAATTAGAAACATCTGAATTTTTTTTAGTGAAATTGCAGAGATGAAAAGCTTAGAATGAAGTAAACTCAAATCAATATCATGTTTATATACTCAAAGAAATCTGTTACAAGTGTACATAATCAATTAAGATGAAAAGCATCATCAGCAAGAAATTATATAAACAAAGATTTAACCATTCAAAAGTTCCATCCCCTCTCCTTCTCCCTTTGACTCTGCTTCTTAGCTTCCCTAGTAGCCATTCTTCTACCATTGCCCAACAACACCCTCTGTCCCAATCTTCCCCGACTTCCAATTGAGACTCTAACCTTCTCAAGTCCTACATTTACACCTCCTTTCTTAAGCTGTTGCTGCATGGGAGATTTCCCTTTTTTCTGAAGACTTCGCCTCAGTACACTATTCAACTTTTTTACGCCACTCTTACAAGCTACGGGGCAGCATATAGCAGGCTCTAACGAACACTTATCTACCTCATATCTCTCCTCTTTCTCGTCTTCTAGAGGTGGAGGAAATGGCGACGCTGAAGGATGGTAGACTGTCATTGGTGTGCTGGGTAACGGAATTAAAGAATTTCTTCTTGGATTTGATGCTACAGGAATCCGCTGTGTAGTCGGGCAAAGAGAAGCTCTACCTGTTTTTTTCGGCTGCATGAGTAGCTCACCTGTCTCAGGATTATTTTCTTTCTCCAGGAGAAAGCTCTCTGCCAGAAGAAAATATGATGGCATTTTGTGGTTGTTATGATCAGAAAATAAACGAGGAAGACTTGGTGAATCACATGTGTTTTCATTGACATTCTTCAGAGTTCCCAGTGTTTTAACTACTAGAGGAGGTCTATTCGGTGCACTATTTTGGTCTTCAAACTGTTGCCGCATTTGTTGTTGTTGTTGCTCAGCGATTTTTGTGTCTACATGTTGTCGTGCCAACTTTCTTTCTACCAAAAGCTGTGCCTCAAGTTCCTTCAGCTGAAATATAAGACCTCTTACTCTTAGTAACGGTTTAAAATTCTCAAACACACAAAAATGATCTATTAGCCAATAAGATACATTTACTGCTACTGTTCAATGGAATTTACTTTCTCCTGTACAAGAAGAATACCTTTTCTTGAAGATTCTTGTTCTTCTGGTCCTTGTCTTTGATCTTCGACTCCATATTGTGAATTGTTTCCTCCATCTTCTTAACCTGCAAATCCTTCAATTTTGCCTCTTGCTTGGTCTTCTCAGCCTACAAGCAAAAAAAAAGTTGTTCAATTAAAAGATGATATTAATAATTAAAAAAGAAAGCTGAAGTGTGGAACCATTATTACCAATTGCTTGTATCTGAGAAATTCAATATTGTCCAATTGCTTCTTTGCTGGACCTAACTCAACTCCTTTAACCCTGCTAGCAAAATTAAGTGAGCATATAGTCTCACTTAAGTCATTTTCATTGGGACTGATCTGTAAAAACATAAGCGCCTTGGAGTCTCCACCTACGAATTAAAATTGAAGGAAACGTGAACCAAACTCCATTTCAAGTTGAGGGTATCCAGTTTTCTCCATAGCTCATACATTAATGGTCAAAAAAATTTATATATATATATATATATATATATATATATATATATATATATATGTATGTATGTATGTATGTAATAATAATAATAATAATAATAATAATAATAATAATACAAAATCTCACGTTACCTAGAGAATCTTGAAGTAGATGGGTAAGCTTGGAGTTCCTGCGGAGTAATATGAATGTTAAAACAGGACCACAATGGTACTATGATGTATACAGAAAATCTGCAAGGACAACATTCACATAAATGATTGACAATGCACCTGAATGGTACATGTTGACTCTTATTTGCCAAAGCAGATATGACATCTCCAAGAACCGAAAGAGATTTATTAATATTCTGTGCTTCCTTCAGTCGTTCACCTTGAGCTTCAGTTTTGGCTATCCGTTCACTGCCTGCTAGATCAACCAACCACAACTTGCTTCTAGTGCATTCTCCAGTCAGCAAATTTTTGCCCTTTACCATTACACAGTGTATGCTGCAACAAATGTTAAAAGCATAATGTACATTGATAATGTCAAAAGCTAGAAAGAAAGAGGGTAAAATAGCATGAACTCGGAAGCGAACCAATGAGACCGGCTACTGTGCTCATTTGCATTAGTAGAGCCAACTGCCCTGGCATTACTTCCAGTTTGTAAAACATCCCAAGCCTCTCTAATGTTGCTTACATGTGCTTCAATCAACCCAGGAACATGAAGGACACCTTCACTGGCCTGCCTGATCTCAAGCCTAGAAAATCAATATACAATTACACATCCATTCTTAGTACGATATCAGACCTTTATCACAAACATGATAATCAGTAAATAACGCTCATAAAAAGTTTTATCAGTAGTGATGCCTGATGATAATTCAGACGAAGCAATACAAGTCAAAATTCTAGCTGAGCAAACTCAATGTAAATTAAAAGGAGGGAAGTACAAGCCATATAAATTAACTAGAGCAGCTAATCTGGTAGCGATAACACGATAACACTACCGGTGAAGTCCACTAACTACAGAATGGTAGAAAGTGGAGGCAGCATACAATGTTTTTATATACTTCGTATATAATCAATCAAATCAGAAGGAAAGTATTGAATCTTGTTGATGAACTAGCTCCTACAAATTGCTTGAAGTATGGAGTAACCATTAGAAAGTTATGGGCCACACTCTTGGAGGCTCAAGAAATATGTTGTTAAATCCGTGTGAGGTGCCATTCAGGGTAAATTGCTTGAGTTGAAGGCACTTGTACAGTGTAATACTATAAACATAAATATGTAACTCACGTGTGATTTACGAGTTATATAGTGATATTTAATGGAGCATGAATCCCACATGATCAACCATTTCTGACCTTATATCTATTGTAA